AAGGGGAATTTAAGAATGCTCCTCCCCAATCCTGGCCTTACTAAATGATCAAATATTTAAGGAATACTGACTCCAAGGGGTGGCCGGTGATGAGCCTCCCAGGTACCCACATGTCTTTTTTTGGTTCTTGCTGTGACTCCTTCAATTGTATTAACAGAATTTTATCTTCAGAGTATCCTATTTCTTCCTCACTTCCTCACCATTCTGGAAGATGCCAGTGTTATCAGGAAGCAAAGCTCGGGTCTTGGTGTCACACATCTCGCTTTTCAAATTCCAGCATCACCACTGACTATCTGGGTGATTTTAAGCCAGTGGTTCTCAACTGGTGGTGATTTTGCCCTCTTGGGGGACATTTGGCAATATCTGGACAAATTTTTGATGGTTACACCTGGGGCTGCTACTTGTGTTTAGTGGGTAGAAGCCAGGGATACTGCTCAACATTCGACCATGCTCCATCACAAAGAATTTTCTGACCCAAATGTCAATAATGCCACTGTTGGGACAGCCTGCTCTAAGAAAAAAGAAAACCCATTCTGAGCCTTGGTTCCCTCTTCTCTGCAATGAGGGTAACAATATTCCGGGGTGGTATGGTAAGGAGTATATACGGTACTATACTTACAGCATAATACATCATGACTGGCTCATAGCCAGAATCAAAAAATGGTAAATATTTTCAATATTTATGTATCAGGTGTTGCATTGGATACTTCTTAAGATGGTATTTGCTTAATATTAAAAAATGTTGTTCATTTACTCCACAAATATTTTTTGAGCACTTTCTCTGTGCTAGACACCAATCTGGCTACTGCAAATAGATTAGTTAAAAAAAAAAAAAAAAAAAAAAAAAGCCAGTCTCTACCCTCAGGGTGCTGAAAACCTGCAGGTAGGCATTTGTGCTCCCTGTTTTGCAACTGAGAGAACCCAGCCTCTGGCAGGTTAAAGTAACAAAATAACATGCCCAAGATTTCAGTGCTAAGGAGAGGCAGGCCTAGATTCAAGTCTAAACAGCTTTGCTTGATTCCAAAGCCTACATTCTTTCTGCTACATTATTGTCAGATCCCAGCTCTTGCAAAATCCAGGTTGTGAGACATGTGAGGACTGCAGATCTCACCCCTGTGCTAATCTTATTGATTATATTAGCATCACCACCCATGCCCTCTCACTTTGCAGTGTGCTTCTAAGTCATATTCTTGCTGCTTCTCTCCCTCTTTACTCTTTATTCATTCACAAGCATTTATTGAGCACTTGCTCCTTGTCAGGATACAGTGGAACTATGAGATACTGCCTTGGTTTGCAGGGTGCTCACGGGCAAGAGTCAATCTCTGCTAGAAGTCAGTGCACTGAGGACCAGTGGCAGCAGCCCTATCCTACTCTCACGCACCTGCTGCCAACTCCGTCTCAGGATCGTGGGCTTCCTTATAGGTGTTTATGTGTTCTTTCCATAACTCATTGCCACATGCACGGTTAGTTTATGTGCACAGCAAAATTTTCCTTTGGTGTACCAAAAATTCTGAGTGTAACATTCACTCATCTGAGGCTCATGTTACGCTTTTAGCTTGGCACAGATTTATAGCACAGTAAGTTCTTAGTTGTAGAGGATGTTGCTTTTATGATGTTATTTGTTCATGACCTTGAAGGTCTATGCCATATTATATATTGTAATTTTGCTGAACTGTGAATTTAGTTACACGACCTGAAATACTGATGAACCAAGAGTGTTATTTATAGTGAGAGAACCTAGCAATCACCCAATATGCCCCTCAAAACTTGACTTTGTGGGTTTCATGATGTAATCAGGTCCATTGTTTCAGGTGTGTTCCTGGTTGATGTTACTTTAGGAACATCACAGTGCATATTTGTGACACAATATTTACACGTTGGTTTCATCCACAGTTCCTGGCTCATGCTACTCTCTGACCTTCTCCTGCCCTCCTTTCACCCGCTCCTTTTTCTCCCTGAGGCAGGAAATTTTCTGATCTACCTTAGCTGATTGTAGGTCATAAGACACCCCCATTTCAGGAGGGGCCCTGTCCCGTGCCCATGAGGAAGGATCGCTGCACAGAGAGGCCAAGAAGAATCTGAACAAACAGGCCTTGCTGGGTGTCCCCACCCAGGCTGTGAGTGTGAGTGTCAGACCCCTTTTGTCCAATCACATTTCTACACAGTTGTCCGTGCTTCAGTCATGCCTATGTAATGAAGCTTCCATTAAAAACCAAGAGCATAAGGTTTGGGGAGATTCTCGACAGCCGAACACGTGGAGGTTTCTGGAGGGTTGTGCACCTGGAGAGGTCATGGAAGCTCCATGCCCCTCCCCCACACCCTGCCCTATGCCTCTTTTCATCTGTATCCTTTGTAATATCCTTTGTAATAAACTGGTAAACCTAAGTATGTGTTTTCCTGAGCTCTGTGAGCCACTCAAACAAACTAATTGAAACCAAGGAGGGAGGCTGTGGGAACCCTGATTTATAGCTCGTTGGCCAAGAGTTCCAGAGGCTTGGACGTGTGACTGGCATCTGATGTGGGAGGCAGTCTTGGGGACTGAGCCCTCACCCTGTGGAATCTGATGCTATCTCCAGGTGGTCAGTGTTGGAATTGAATTGGAAGACACTCAGCTGGTGCCTGCTGAGGAATTTCTGGCTTGCGTGCTAGTCAGTCTTCTGTGCTGCTTGTTGCTGAGTATAGGAAAAACACACAGTTTGTGTTTTGTTTTCATACTCAAGTGTCTTTAGGAATACCATGGGATCATAATGTATAGTTTGTTTTGATGGAACCATCATGGCCCTGAAGGTGCATTTAACATTTTTAGTTATTCTCAACTGAACTGTAGTAATGCATATGATGGCATTTGGGCACTCACCAATGTCTCAGGATATGTGACTATGAATGCCAAGACATTCCACTAAACAGCCACTTTTTGTTGCTAACTGATGACATCACTCAGCTTTCAGCTGTGTCCCTTCTTCTGCAGCTTGACCATGAATGACAAGTTCTTCTGGTCTAGTTAAGACTAAGACTCTCATCAGAGAGACCTGGCTTCAAAACTCTGCTTTACCACATATTAGTTGAGTAACCTTTGTCAAAGTGACCTCCCTCAGCTTCAGTTTCCTCATCTGTAAAATGGGGATAATAACCACAGGTCTTATCTCATTGGATTGTTGTGACATTTGGTTGCCATATTTACACATATGATAATAATAATATGTGATGTCACAAAGTCTGTCTTCTATTCTTGTTCACAGAAAATAAAAATGGCGATAAGATCTTCGAAATACTGCAATTGTAGGAAATGTTGGAGAAAATTCAGATAAGGACATTGTGGTTAGGTAATGCAAAGCCAGATGTGAGACCATGGCTGGCTGCTATTTTAAGGGTGCAAAGAATAAAGCCATAGCTAATAGATTGTTTTTTCATATTGTGTAACGTCCAAGGCCCAATGGTCAATAAATTTTAGTCTTCATTCCTTTTCCAATTCCACCCTTTGATGGATCAATTGTCACTGTCTACCGTCTCATTCACTGAGTATGTGTCTTTCCCTTTGGGGCTTTATGCACAGGCTACTTGCCGACTGTTAAGATTGTTTTTTCATATTGTGTAACGTCCAAGGCCCAATGGTCAATAAATTTTAGTCTTCATTTCTTTTCCAATTCCACCCTTTGATGGATCATTCACTGAGTATGTGTCTTTCCCTTTGGGGCTTTATGCACAGGCTACTTGCCGACTGT